CAATATATCACACACACCAGCATCTCACACACCATCATTTCACATACCAATATCACACTCACAAATATCTCACTCATCAATATCTCACATACCAACATCTCACACACCAACATCTCACAAACCAATATCTCATACACCGGCATCTGACACAGCAACATCTCACGTACCAATATCTCACACACCAGTATCTCACACACCAGTATCTCACACACCAATATCTCGCACACCAGCATCTCACACACCAGCACCTCACACACCAATATATCACACACCAATATCTCACACACCAATACCTCATACACCATCATCTGACACAGCAATATCTCACACACAAATATCTCACACACCAATATCTCACTCACCAAGATCGCACACACCAACATGTCACACACCAATATCTCGCACACCAATATCTCACATACCAGCATCTCACACGGCAAAATCTCTCACACCATCATCTCTCACACCATCATCTCACACACCAATATCTCACACACCAACATCTCACACACCAATATCTCACACACCTGCATCTTACTCACCAAGATCCCACACACCAACATCTCTCACAACATCATCTCACACATCAATATCTCACACAACATCTCACACACCTGCATCTCACTCACCAAGATCCCACACACCAACATCTCTCACATCATCACCTCACACATCAATATCTCACACAACAATATCTCTCACACCAACAACTCACACACCAGCATCTCTCACACCATCATGTCAGACACCAGCAAATCAAACACCAATATATCACACACACCAGCATCTCACACACCATCATCTCACACACCAATATCACACTCACAAATATTCCACTTATCAATATCTCACATACCAACATCTCACACACCAACAACTCACAAATCAATATCTCATACACCGGCATCTGACACAGCAACGTCTCACATACCAATATCTCACACACCAGCATCTCACACAGCAATATCTCACACAGCTATATCTCACACACCAATATCTCACACACCAATATCTCACACACCAATATCTCTCACATCAACAACTCAAACACCAGCTTCTAACTCACCAACATCTCACACACCAGCATCACACACACCAATATCTCATACCAATATCTCACACACCAATACCTCTCCTACCAATATCTCACACACCAACATCTCTCACACCAGCATCTCAAACACCAGCATCTCACACACCAACATCTCACACAACAGCATCTCATGCACCAACATCTCACATCACAATATCTCACACACCTATATCTCACACACCTATATCTCACACACCCATATTTCACACACCAATATCTCACAGAGTAGCATCTCACACACAAACATCTCTCACACCAATA